AGCAGGAGAACATATTTTGGGTTGTTCTTTGGTGGTACGTTATGGTAATAGCAAGAAATCTATAGATGCATTAAAAAATGATTTTCTTTTTTACTATGTTGTGCCAGTTTTTCTTTGATACTTCCAAGAATGGGAGATATCTATTACTATTTACCACCAGTTGAAAACCCACTTTGTCCTAAAAAATAACAATGTATATAATGTTTCCTTTGATATTTTTAAGTGATGCTAACACCCTAGTCTAGATTAAACTTGGAGCTAAACCAGAAGCTACAAATACCCTTTATGAATCATATGTCAATAAGGTCTTCCGTATTTCAAGCTTTACAACTCCCATGCAACTTCAGCAGCAAATTAAATGATTGACATTTATTGTGATTTGCTTATTCTGTAAAACCAAATTCTGTAAAATTTGCTTATTCTGTAAAACCAAATGTAAATATAACATTAATCATCTCTGAAAGCCAATATTTGATTATATATTTTTTCAATTAATTATATATTGTAATTTTAGTCATACAATTATCATAAACTGATGAATTTAGTTATAGTTTAATGTGGCCAAATGATAAAAACTAGAGAAAAGAAAAATATAACAAAAGTGGAGTAGTTACTCATACTCATAGCCCTTATTTCATGTTCCTGAAGAATATAAAGGAAGATAAATCCCAATTGGTCACCCTAGGCATCAGCGCCACTTTTGATCCTGTTTTTTTTCTGCAGTTTTTTATAAATTATGCCCTTCATTCTCGGTGGGTCCTAGGAGAACATGTAGCCTGCGATGCTCATAAACAAGTGCCATTTTTAATTAATTGTTTAAAAATATTGGTGCTGCTATCTGCTAACTTCTTTCTGCCAAACACTTGGGCATCAGCTAAATATCTTTGCTCTAGGCTTTTTTTCCTGATGACATGGAGGGCCATGTGCAATCTTTGTTGGCACAACTGTTATTAGTCTCAACCAGGGACACATGTGGCAGGATAACAATACAGGAGCACATTTGGGAGACCCCATAACAGGACGTGCTTGAAGAAGAACCTTCATGTCATGATCAGTAGATCTTTTTTAATCTTCTTTTAATGCAATCTGCAGATTTACAGAGATTGAAAATGAACTGTTGATAGAAACTGAAGCAGAAACTAAGCAGCTATATGCATCAATGCAAATGACTCTGAAGCAGGAATTATTGCAGCAAGATTATATTCACTCCTTGATATTTCAGTGTTGACAATGAAAATGCCTGAGAACAAGTAATGACATTTTACTTGTGTATACAGTATTCTCTGTTTATTTTAAGGTTTAGTCTGTGTGGCTTTTGGAAAATTTCTTTAACTTCCATTTTGGTGAACCTTTGTCATCAGGAATAAATTAGGTGAAATTCTCTAACAGAACCATAGACAGCAGTGAAAACCAGACATGGGTTCTAATTCTTAACCACTTTAACCAAAAAAGGAAAACAATTTTGTCTGGCCATAACCTTTAAAGGCCTATTTTAATAGAACAGTATGGCCCAATTATACTACGAGGGGCATTCAAGTCAAACTGGGACTTGTAGCTTCCCTAGCGGTCTGATTATGTCAGTATTTTTGTGCTCAAAGCGGTAAATTTTTTTGCATGGAAGTATGTATTTTTTTATTGTAGGCCTGTAAGTTTTAGAAATTCACTCACTGAAATATGTACGAACAAGAGTCTAGTAAACATCCCAGGTATGTTAAAATTTGAAACACAAAATCATAAATTAAAATTTAATAAATAATCATAAAAAATAATAATATAATAATAAATTTAATTCAATAATATAATCAAAAAACAAAACCACTGAAATTTGAAATATAGAGCCAAGTTCACACATCACTAAGCAAAGTCGCAAAATCGTTTTCATTGTCTAAAGACAATTTCCCCATGAATCATTATCACTCAATTCTGCAAGTAGTTCTAATTTACTATCGCTGTTCTCTAGCTGGTCTAAAACCGCTTTTGACCTAAAGGAACGCTTTTTGGACGCCATGGACATTTCTCAGTTTCAAGGCAGAAAGAACAGTAAAAAATGCAGGCAGGGCACAGGACAAAGCACTAGGGACAAAATGTATGTGAAATGCTTTGATACAGTAATGTTTTACTATGTGATTTTAGTGTATTTAGTGAATGTCACTTTTTCAAATTTTTAAATTTCCCGCCGTTCCGTCCCCGTACGTCCTGACGTCGCAGGGAATGGAACCCAGAAGACAGATGCTGGCATCGGCCGGAGGACATTGCCGGGAGTACAGCAGGAGGGACATCACGGGAGCGAAGGACAAGGTAAGTGCAAAAGAGATCCCGGAGCAACGCTTCAAGGTCTTCCCGAGTGTAGCTCGGGGTTACTGCTTGTGGTGCTGAAACTTTACCCCGAGCTACACTCAGGCATACCTCCAGGGAGGTTAATTTTCCAGGTGTAAAAAGGGATGCTAGCGTACTACATGCAGCAATAAGTGTCAAGTGTGTCCTATTACTTGCGGGCCAGTCCAGAGACCGTTAATCAAAATGGCAGACAACAGTGATAGTGCGTGCATGGGACTACGTGTGGTGATGAAGTTTCTTGTGAACAAAAGCATAAACCCATCAGATATCTACAGGAGACTTCAAGTACAGTACGGTGATGAGACACTCAGCCGCAGTAAGACATTTGAATGATGTAAATGTTTCAAAGATGGCCGTACGTCCTTCAGTGACGATCCTTGCTGTGGTGGTTCCCAGTCCACAGCAGTCATTCCTGTGAACATTCATCATGTGGAATGCTTGATCCAGGATAATCAACACATAACCTGTCATGAAATTGCACAAGAGACAAATCTTTCTGTGAGAACAGTGAATACAATGATGACAAGGTGAAGCGGGCTGTCCTAGGATGGTTCAGTCGTACTGACAAATCTTTCTATGCCAAAGCTTCCCAGGCATTAGTTAAATGCTGGGATAAGTGTATAAGTGTATCAGGGGAGTTTGTAAAAAAAAAAAATAAATGCAGTTTCCACTCCTTGAAATTTATTCTTTTAATATATAAACTCAAAAATTCCTACTTGAACTTGAACACCCCTCGTAATTCCTGACTGTAGTATTCAAAGGCAAGCATCCATCCATAGATCCTTCTGTTGCCTGCAACAGGTTATCATTTTTTCATTTTCTTTGAGACTTGTTACAGGCAGAGGTATAGCATTTTGGTGTGAGTTGGCATGCCCCCCAAGAAAATGGGCCTAAAACATTTGTGATTTAGAAGCAAGCAGTTCTTGCAAGATTGTCCACTGCATGTACTGTTGTTCCATTGCATGTCTATAACTGGGGCGCAGGGGTGGACTGACAACTCATGGGGCCCCCGGGCAATAGGGGATCATGGGGCCCCGTGTCCTCGCCCATGCTCAAATCACACACCCAAAAAAGCCTATGAAAAGGTACCAGGGGCCCCAGGCCCTCAGGCAGTTTCCGAATGGTCAGTCTGCCCCTGCTGGGGCGTGATCACCAGTGGCTTCATAACTGCACAGCATCTGCATAAGTCACTGTGGGGCAGGGGTGGACTGACCATTTGGAAACTCGGGCACTGCCCGAGGGCTCGGGTCAGTAGGGGGCCTCATGAGATGCCCTTGGTACCTTTTTCATAGGCTTTTTTGAGTTTGGGCAAGAACACAGGGGCCCCATGATCATCTATTGCCCGGGGGCCCCATGAGTTGTCAGTCCCCCCCTGCTGTGGGGTTTATTTACTAAAGCTGGAGAGTGCAAAATCAGGTTCATTTCTGCATAGAAACCAATCAGCTTCTAACCTCAGCTTGTTCAATTAAGCTTTGGCAATAAAACCTGGAATCTGATTGGTTTCTGTGCAGAAGTGAGCCTGATTTTGCACTCTCCAGCGTAAACCCCTACCTAAGTGTACTTCTAGCAGTGTTATGTAGAACACAGGGACTGTAAATACATAATTATCTGGCAAATTTTAAAACAGGACTACACACTAACAAAGTGTGTTATGATGCTGACTGTGCAAAACCACATTTTAATTCTACTAACAATAATAATTCTGGTCATGTAATACAGCTTTGCCCTGCCACTAAAACACATTAGACATCAGGGCATATAGAGAACATTTAGTTTATCGTGGTGTTGTAACATTTGTTACTGTGTATATGATTTTAATTGCTTTAATATAACAGAAAGCAATGATCATCCTTTTATGAAATTTGATTTAATGACTTTAGCACGTTCATTATTAGTTCATTATGGTTCTGAGGAATCAAGGCCTCCTGAGCTAGAAGATTGTCCCACACTAATCTGGTCTCAATTAAAATATAATCATTTTGTACAAAATTCAAGTACTTGTGTTATAAAGAATGGAAATAACTGTTCAAATATCTGAAGATAAAAGTGGTACTAAGATAGTAGGACTTTATTGCTTTAAAGAGCTATGACTAAAATGTATTTTCTTAAATGACAACATTTGGTCTGATTCAGCAAGTTGCTGTATACTGCATACAAAAAGCAGCTGATAAAACGTTATTGTTCAATATGATAATGTTGCTTGATTCACCAAAAATTAAGACATTTCAGGCAAATAATGTCTAGAATTTTGAACATCCAACAAAAACAAATACCACTAATTGGCTGTTACATTGCAAAGATCTCTTTGCCCTTAATCAAAGAGTCAAGTGTGTGCATACTTTTACGACATACATTATAAATAAATGCTCAGTACTAAAACAAAACATTTATTGCAAGCTTAAAAACAAGCTGCAAAGAAATACATCCTGCTTGGAAATATAACATGGTTTACAAATGTCACTTAAGTTAATTTGGGTAGCTGGTTTACCCACAATCTACACTTCCAACTCCCCTTACTTTATCTGAATGTATTGTGTATATCAGTGCCTGTCAGTGCTGCCTATCAGTGCCACCTAACAATGCCAGTCAGTGCCACCTATCAGTGCCAGTCAGTGTCGCCTATCAGTGCCCATCAGTGCTGCATATCAGTGCCCATCAGTGCTGCCTATCAGTGCCAATCAGTGCCACCTATCAGTGCCGCCTATCAGTGCCATATATGAGTGCTGCCTTTCAGTGCCCATCAGTGCCACCTACCAGTGCCTCCTCATCAGTGCCCATCAGTGCAGCCTATCAGTGCGCATCACTGCAGCCTCATTAGCGCACATCTGTGAAGGAGAAAAATCACTTATTTACAAAATTTTATAACAAAAACTAAGAAAAAACTTTTTTTTTCAAAATGTTCAGTTGTTTCTGGTTTGTTTAGCAAAAAATAAAAAACCCAGAGGTGATTAAATACCACCCAAAGAAAGCTTTATCTGTCTCAAAAAAATGATAAAAATTGCATATGGGTACAGTGTTGCATGACCACGCAATTGTCATTCAAAGTGTGATAATGCTGAAAGCTGAAAATTGGCCTGGGCAGGAAGGGGGTATAAGTGCCCGGTAGGCAAGTGGTTAATATTTCCTTGTATGCTGTAACATTTACCACTTCAATACGGAGCACTTTTACCCCCTTCCTACCCAGGCCAATTTTCAACTTTCAGTGTTGTCGCATTTTGAATGACAATTGTGCAGTCATGCAACACTGTACCCATAAAAAAAAAATAGTTTTTTTTTCACACAAATAAAATCTTCTTTTGATGGTATTTAATCAACACTGAATTTTTATTTTTTGCTAAATAAACAAAAAAAAACCTGAAACTTTTGACAAAAAAAAAAACAAGGTTTTCTTTGTTTCTGTTATAAAAGTTTGCAAATAAATAACCTTTCTGCATAAATTTAGGTCAAAATGTACTCTGCTACTTTTCTTTGGTGAAAATATCCAAAATTAGTATATATATTGACAATTGAGCAATCAATGTACTGACAGCCAATTTCATTTCTTGAGGCCTAAAAATGCCAGAATAGTACAAATACCCCCAAAAAAACACTTAGTCCAAGGTATTTAGTAAGAGGCATATTTTTTTTTTTTGCATATTGTCACCAATCCAATACAGCTTTATTATATAACTGGTATGGTGGTAATCAGGGACACTGACTGGTGACAGTATATAAAAAAAAAATAAAAATAATAATTTAATTTTTTTTTTTTTCAATTTTTTCTATTATTTTTTCTTTTTCATTACATTTTTTTTTTTACTATTTTTTTTTATTCAACACACTGTGACCTGAGCAATACAATGTTACCATAGTAAGAATGAACTACTCTGGGCAAATGATCAGGATTTTTTTACACACATTATGATTGATAATATCAATGTATTTCATTTCATTGATATTTGCAACCATTGTTCCTGAATGAAACTGATTCATTCAGTATTTTGTTGTGATTAGCTGTGATTGTGCAAAGCTCATCACATGATACAGATGGGCTGTGATTTGCCCTGTCCTTTTTTTTGTTATTAATATCTTTTATTAAATTTTCTTCCAATACAAATTAAAACAATACATACATTATCAAATTTAAACAACATTAACTGTCCTTTTCCTATAGCCCCACCGCTTCTCAACCCCTCCCCCTTATCCCCATAACTCCCCCTATCCATCTATATTCTCCCTATCCCTTTCTAACCCTACTAAAAACCTATAGTCAGTCTGCATGATTGCCACTCCACAGTTGTTCAGTTTAAATCTCTAAATTGACCTACTTAGTACCCATTATCCTGAGATATTTTTCTGATGATTTAAAAACATACCACCTATTCCATTCTTTTCTAAATTGTTTCGTTTTGTCTTCTTCTATGTGGTATAACTCCTCCATCGTGCATATATATTCAATCCTCCTCATCCAATCTCTCGTTGTTGGGGGATCTGGAACCCACCAAAAATTTAGGGATTAATCCTTTTGCAGCGCTAATTAAAGGGTATATTAAACAATTTTTATACTGTTTTATTGACAACTCGGTCCCATAGAACAAACAAACCCACGGGTGCTTTTGGATAGTTATCTCCACAATTTCTTGTATATATCGTATTATCTCTTGCCAAAACCCCTGAATTTTTATACAATCCCACCAAATGTGAGTCATAGTCCCTCTTTCCCCACAACCCCTCCAACATAGTGGAAACTTCTTTTCTCTGTTTATGTGCAACACTTGGTGTACAATACCACTTAGCAAAACACTTATAATTCATTTCTACTGTGCTTATATTTACCACTCCATGCATCAACTTACACATTTTATTCTTTTGTTGTTCATTCATTTTGGTACCCAACTCTCTTTCCCACCTTTCCAAGAATAACGGAGGATCCGGCCCTCCCATTCAATAAGATTCTTATACATTCTAGAAATTATATTCCTGAAGTTTACATAACTTTCCCTTATCAACTATATCCCCTAATCATGCATTTTTATTTCTAAACCATTTCCCTGATTTGCCCTGTCTGTACCATGTGACTGCTTTGACCAATCACAGCTAACAACACAATAATATACAATGGATGGAATGAAAGGAAGCCATACATTAATTACAATTGTCATGTGATCTGTTGTAAGTTTTCACAGCGGTCACATGACATTGGCAATCGGCCGGGTGTAGTGATCTGTCATCGGCTGTGTCCCGTGGCCATGAGAGCAGCACCTTCTGACAAGATGTCATATGACGCCCACTCAGAAGGAGAAATGTCCCATTTGGCCGTCAATCTGCTATAGACCGGGCGGGAAGGTGTTAATAAGAACCTTCATTGGAAACACCTGCACTTAATAATTACTGTAGGAGGGGGTGTAACCTAATTTTTGCCATATACTGTAGTATGTGAGATTATCAGGTGTCCACAAACTCATATATTTTATATATATATGTGTGTGTGTGTGTTTGCAAAATTTAAGGCATATGTGAAAAAAGTGCTGTATATTAAGAATGCTTTCATAACTAGAAGTGCTGATAGGTTAATTGTTTATTTTTTATTAATGGAAAGTAAACAAAAAGAAGATAAATCCAAATCAATTCAATATTTGGTGTGAACATCCTTTGCCTTCAAAACAGCGTCAATTCCTTGCACACTTGCACACAGTTTTTGAAGCAGGTAGTAGTTGTTCCAAACATCTTGGAGAACTAACCACAGATCTTCTGTAGATGCAAACTGCCTCAAATCCTTCTGTATCTTCATGTAATTCCAGACAAACTATATGATGTTTTTATCAGGGCTCTGTGGGGGCCAAACCATCACTTCTAGGACTCCTTATTCTTCTTTACACTGAAGATAGTTCTCAATGACATTGGCTGTATGTTTGGGGTTGTTGTCCTGCTGCAGAATACATTTGGGGCCAATCACACACCTCTCTGATGGCATAGCATGTTGGGCAAGTATCTGCCTGTATTTCTCAGCATTGAGGACATCATTGATCCTGACCAAATCTCCAACTCCATTTGCAGAAATGCAGCTCCAAACTTGCAAGGAACCTCAACCATAGTTCACAGTTAATGTATATTATATAGGGCGCGCTTGTTGGAGCCCAACCTCTGTAGCTGTAGGATAAAGGTGCCAGATGGATATCAGGGATGGATGGCAGCAGTAACACTGAGGCAGCTCTTCTTAGAGTGGATGCAAGGCTCTAATGCAGTACAAGAAAAAGAGAGGAATGCGCCTCTAAGTGCAGTAGGCTCCTTCTTCAGACCCTTCAGACTTGGTCTGAAGAAGGAGCCTATTGAGCATGCTCCGAAATGCATTACCGCCCCCCTTCACCTCCTACATCTGACTCTGCTCTCCTAGCTTCATTTTGATGCACAGGCACATCCTGGACTCTACTTCCTGATCCTATAGACCAGTGGTTCTCAACCTTCCTAATGCCGTGACCCTTTAATACAGTTCCTCATGTTGTGGTGACCCCCAACCATAAAATTATTTACCCAGTAATTATAATTCATGAGTGTCGTTTTACCTCCAATACTGCTGCTTTCAACACAGTAGCTGCTTTTAACAGAGTAGCTGCTTTCAACACAGTAGCTGCTCTTTACACATCGGAAATATGTGTTTTCTGATGGTCTTAGGGGACCCCTGTGAAAGGGTCGTTCGACCCCCAAAGGGGTCGCGACCCACAGGTTGAGAACCACTGCTATAGACAGATTTTGCTGCTGGATGACTGGATGCCCCACCTGGATATAATTACCACACAATGAGTCTTTTTAACTATTTATCTTGTAAGTGCAATTTATCCATTGTTTACTAAATAAATTGTCAATACTGCACTTAGAGGCGCCTTCCTCTCTTTTTCTCATAGTTCACTGTTGCCTGCAGACACTTATTGCTGTACAGGTCTTCAGCCCTTTGGCAAATAAACTGCCTCCTGCTACAGATAATTCTTTCAAATTTTGACTCATCAGTCCACAGAACCTGCTGCCATTTTTTTGCACCCCATTCACTATGTTTTCCTGCATAGATGGCCACCTAGACTTGTATCTACGTCAGAGGTATGTTTTTTTTGGCTGCAATTCCTTCATGAAGACCACTTCTAGACAGACTTTTCTGGACAGTAGATGGGTGTACCTGAGTCCCACTGTTTTTTGCCACTTCTGCACTACTGTACATATTTTGATTCTGAAGTGAACTAAGCATGATGTGTATTTCATCTGCTGCATTAAGTCTCCTTGGCCAACCACTGCATCTACGGTCCTCAGCTTTGCCCATTTCTTTATGCTTTTTCAAAAGAGTTTAAACAGCACATCTTGAAATGTCAGCCTGCTTTGAAATCTTTGCCTGGGAAAGACCTTGTTGATGCAATATAACTACCTTGTGTCTTGTTTCTGTGCCATGGTGTATGACCTGTGACATGAAACTGTCTTCCACAGTCTCACCTTAGTAGCAGAATTTGGCTGTTCATCTCCCAGTATTAAGCCTCCAACACAGCTGTTTCTGTTTCATTTAACGTCTGTTTTCCAGCCTACATTGATGATTGAAATTGATGATCATTAGCACCTGGTTGGTATAACTGGTTCATCATACACCTGACTCTAATCCTACAAAATCCCTGTCTTTTTGCAAGTGTACAAAGTGTGCAAGTATAGGAATTAATGCTGGTTTGAAGCCAAAGGTTGTCAACAGCAAAAATATTTATTTGATTTAGATTTTCCTTCTATTCACTCACTATATAAAAATTTTATTATATTAATATATATTTTTTTTTTTCTTACTTCATTTATTGAAAGAGCCAAATGTCAAGTGGACCTTCAGGGCAGATCATCCTCTATCTCACTCTATCTCCAGTTTCAGCTTTTTTTTTTGAAGAGTGGATACCTCTTTTGACAGGTATGTGCCCCCACATCCTCAATCTTTGTCTAGGTCAGGATGATGT